CTTTTCCCCATAGTTCTCCTTAGGGTAACGGAAGGACACAAACTAGCGTCCTCCCGTCACCCTAAGCTCAGAGACGCCACAGTATACGCCACAGTATACCGCGAGCCGCAGCTGAAGCGGATCACGACAATTATGTCCGGATCCGCCCAGCTGCGTGAGTGACAGCTGGCTCTGCCTATCTAGAGGCAGAGCCAGCTGTACACGCCCCCTCCCCCATCCGTTCCGCCAGTCAGCGCTGGCGGATCGGAGCAGGGAGGGGGGAATCCAGCCCCTCCCCTGTCACGGCAGAGAGCTGTGACAGGAGCGAGAGGTGAGTGAACGCCGGTATGTGTTTGCTCACTTCCCGATCTACTGAGCCGACCTGTGACAGTCTCATTGTCACAGGTCGGCTAGAACTATGAGGTGAGTGAAAACAACTCACCTCATAGTTCTCCTTTAATGCTACTGACAGACTGCAACATATTTTTCATTTATTAATTTATTCAGAGGTAGGCATAACTTTTTTTTCCATTTAGTGTAAGTATTTTTGAAACCACTGTCCCAATACAAAATACGGTTTGTGATGTGAACAGTCCCTTACTCGTTTTAATGGTGGAATTAGCAACACTTGAACTCAGTTGAGAAGAACAAAAGTCCATAGAATTTGTATTGACATTTCAAATCATGTTTTGAATAAGCAGGTGGCTTTTTGTTCTTGTTCTGTATGTGATTTACATGTCGTATTAAACTAGTATGAATATTTTTTCCAGTTTCAGGCACACAGAATTTTTCTGGCATGGTATCTCTTTCACACCTTTGCTTACACAGTAACACGAATATCAGATCTCTCTCTGAAACTGCTTGCTGAGTCACACAGCTCCTGGTACTGACCATTTCCAAACATCTTTGGATAACAATTCTCCCTCCTACTACGGACTGAGTCATTCTACTCCCAACTGCTAAAATGGTGTCTGTACATTATCTTAATGACCCATAATACAAACATAAAGCTTTAACATACTTTATAAGAAAAGACAACAGAATGTATGGAAATTATGAATGTATACAAGCTCATTCTGTAGCTAATTTTTAACATTCTCTGTTGATGACAAACTTTTCCTTTTATTTAATTTTCACACTGAGATTCAAAACAGATAGTTATAAAAAAAAATTATTTGATATAAAATGTTTCATTGCTTGTTGATCGGGAGGGGTAGACAAGGGAATGTATTGCATGAGTACAACACACTTCTTCTTTAAATGCTGTAAGAAAAACCATGGCTAGAGATGCAAATATCTAATATGGAATAACACTTTCACAAAGTCAAATAAATCAATGCTGAATGCAACTGCTTCTGAGTCATTTCTGAGATTTGGGGTTTGTGACTGCCTAACCATCAACCATTATTACCTCACTGTTGCTGAGAAAACGTTGGCGCTCCAGATGCTCACATATTGCACTTATATATTTAGTTTGAAAAAATTTGCTTTAGAGCAGTGGTTCTCAACCTGTGTAACCTCGGTCCTTGTCCTTGGTCATTAAGTCGTGACCCAAGTCGCACTGCAATGTAATGCACGGCATTGCAGTTCCAGGCATTTGGGTGCAGGCAAGCGGAGATTCGTTCGGGGTACCTTTCAAATTAATAGCAACGCACCTTCTTCACCAGAACACGCAGTAGGTGCGATTGCGTGGTACAGTTAATTAATCGCTTAAGAGTGTGTGATTAACGCACTGTACTAATGTGAACGGACCCTCAAAACCACTGACAGACACACACAACCACAGACACATTCTCACATACACACTCCAAATTTTTTTTAAAAATGTTTTCTTTTTTTTTTTAAAGATTCTCCCTACCATATGAGAACTGGAATGGATCCTCAGCCTGGTGTCCAGTGTGGGCTGCTTTGCTGTGATGGAGCTCCATCCATATGTGCATTGTTTGTACAGCTCCCTTGCTCGCCCTGTTGAGATGCCAGGAGCCAGAATGTGACGTCAGTGCAGTTCAGGCACCTCTACAGGGCACATGTGGGAGCTGTAAGCAATGCACGTATGGATGGAGCTCCCTGATGGCTATACTTCCAGCCCACCCCACCTCAAGCTGACACGCAGGGCCATATTTGGAATGGCTGCTCGGCACAACAACTGACCGTGCTGCGCTAGGGGCAGGCTGAGGAGTCTCTCACTTATAAGGAAGGCATGTCGCGACCCACTGAACATAGGGTCGCAACCCACTTTTAGGTCATAACCCACTAGTTGAGAACCAAGGCTTTAGAGCAGCAGTTCTCAACCTGTGAGTCACCCCCCAAAAGTGGGTCGCAGCCCCCTCTTGAGTGGGTCGCCGCGTCCCTTCTCTTGCGCTAGGTGAGAGGCTCCTGAGCCTCCTCCTAGCGCAGCAGTGTTGGTCCCTCCCCGGCTGCCAGATGTCGCTGCAGCAGTCAGCGGTGAGGAGCAGAGAGAGGGATGCGAGTGGGAATGACTCATGAACAGTAGGTGAGGAGGTTCCCTTCCCGCCGATACAGCTTCACTGACTACCATGGGCCGTCTGTATCATTTTGGCCAGGAGGGGGCCCATCAATGCAGGAATGCTGGCTGTGTTGGGTGTCTCAGCTCTCATTGTCTGCTCCATCCACTCTGAACACTTAACGTTCCCATGCGCTGTCACCAGGCTCCGCTGTAAATGAGCAGCATGTCCTGCTCTGAGATCTGCTGACACCTCTAATCCCGGCCACCTATTTCTGCTGCTGGCTGCTGTGCCAATTAAGGAGGCTGAGCCGGCAGTCTAATCATGGGGCTGCAGCCCTTGGAGTTCAGGCACACAAGGACAGATACAATAAGTGCATCAAGGACCTGGTGAAAGAAGTACCTAATCGCTGCCAGCAACAATGAGCGAGACATGGCACAGTATGGGGGGGGTGTGTGGATGGTATAGGAGGGAGGGGGGTACAATTCAGGGGTTAGGATGGTACAGTACACAGGTAAAGGATGGCATAGGACAGGGTGGAGGGCAGCGATTGCGATTGACATTGCGTAGTTTTGCTTCACCCCTGCTGTACGCCGCACAACCTCTCCCTTTTTTGGGGATGCTGTGGTGGAGAGGGGAATTGCATGGTGGGTGCAGGGCAAGTAGGTTGTGTGACAGGGCGAGGTGTGACGGGTAGGAGACGTGGCTTGGGGGGTGGGGGTGGGGCGGCTCAGAAAAATGTTTGCCCAGGGTCCAATGAATAATAAAGACGGCCCTACTGACCACTTCAGAGATATAACTGACTGCCGCTCAGTGTTGAGCTTAATTTAAATGCTAATTCTGGGGAACTTAAAACGGTTAATTAGGACTTACTTGTAACTTGCTCTGCAACATTGCTTAAACGGCACATTATTAATGTGGGCGTTTCACTGTGACACCCGGTTGACACTGCCATGGGAATAGAGGATTTGTTGTCTCCTTTAAGCAGTGGTTCTCAACCTGTGGGTCGCTGTGTGATTTCTGCTGTGCTAAGTGAGAGTCCTCCTCAGCCTTTTCCTAGCGCAGCAGTGTCAGTTTTCCCGCCATGCCGCCAGAAGTCGCTGCAGCAGCTGCGTCATCCCTAAATTTTACCGTTGGCGGTTACCACAACTTCGCAAATGTTACCAAGGGGTCCTGGACCTAGAAAGGTTGAGAACCACTGCTTTAGAGGATCTAATTCATATGTAAAAATGCATCCAGAGTGAACATAAACATCTGACAAATTTAATTTAATTCAAAGAACGTATCAAAAATCATCAATTTAGTATGCAGGAAAAATATACCAGCAGTGTTAGAAGGCATTCTTTGGGTAAGAGAGGATACACTGTCCAAAATTCTACTGATCAAGATAGTAAGGGTAAATTAATAGATTAATTTAAAAAAACATCACTTCCAACATCTATCCAACAAAAACAGAGGTTTATTTCTCATGTTGGATAGTGGGGGAAGCCATGTACATCTAGTTGTATGAAATATTTCGAAACAAGAATTTCTGAATGTTTTGTGTGGTCAGGAATTACATATTTACCCCTGTGTGGCCATCTTTGCCCTGACATATTTGTTTTACCAAAACTAATGGGTTTGTAAGAGATATGCAGAGCTTTAACTCTTTGTAAATGTATATATCTATCCTACTATGTCATTGTATAATATACATACTGTATATATGGTGTGTGTGTTTGTTTTTTAAACAGGCCCTCAAACCTGTATGAATTTCTTGTGTACACATGTTCTCTGAGTATCTTCCTTAGGTGACAGGAGAGGTGCAAAAGCTATTGCTTGCCATATGTAATTGAACAAGATTGTGGGAAAACAAACATTCTCTTTATTCATTCACACTTGCGCTGTCATTAGTTGCAGCAAGAGAGCAGTGGGCACTGCTCATATGCCATTGATATGATTGATAAAACAAGTGAAAGATGTCCTTAGCACTAAATAAGACTATTGAAGTGGGGTTATTCTGTTTAGCACTTTAAAGTACACCTATTGGTATGATCTCTGCACTTGATCTTTTTTGTCCACGCACCTGCTGTGAACATTACAAGCGGGTCCGACTGTAGGAATGTTTATTTGATATTATAAAGAATGCAACAGCATGTTTAGAACATACAAAGGTAGATATGAACAATTAAAGCTGAAAGGTAGATAGCAGCAGAGTCTGGTAGGGAGATCTCACTGTTGGAGTCTAAGATATATGAGAAGCCATCTGTACTGAAAATGTTGCTTTTGGTTGAACTGACCCTTCAAGTGACTTTCAAATTTTGAATCACTCTATAAACTGATGCTTTGTTTGTACACCATCACATCCAGCCATGATGGTAAACAATGATGCCCCATCCTTGTATACTAATTCACACTATCATTATGAAACTAGTAATACATAGTTCAATGAGTGTGCAATTCCCTCCCAGAACAGGGACAGGGGTTAACACAAATTACAAACGTATCAGGTGCACACACCCAGATATATAGTTCAACTGAAAACACAAGTACCCACAGAGCCATATTGGGAGATGTCTGGGGAGTGTGCTTGATAAAGTCTGTGAGTTAGAAAAAGCCCTTGTTGACTTGCTGATGCTCAGCGATAAGTGGAAACTGCGAGTAGAAGTCACAAACGATTTAAGCTAAACCACGAAAGCACCTGGTACTTCACGGTCCTGATCTGTTGACGCCATGCATTCATTCTGTCTCAGGATATTGGCCCTGCTATTGAGCCTTACAGGTAATAAAAACTACAGCTATGATGGAGGTACCTGTAGACTTTAGCTGAAGATTGTTTTTTAGGAACTGTTCTGCCTGGTAAGGAAAATGCTTTCACGGCCAATGTATGTACATGTGTGTTACTAGCTTTGAAAACCTGGGTTGTATATATACAGTAATACCAAGGAATATATATTAATTGCAAAAAAAGGTTGTCCTGGTCAGAACAATTATTTAACTGCAGCATCCTGAAGTTACCTACAGTAATCTTCCATATTTAATACTGCTTTGCTTTTAGATCTACAAAGCAATCAGTAGCAGATGCGGGTTGAACTAAGAGAGTAGACCATCTAAGGGGCAGAGAGGTGTTCTAAACATTGATAGGGGCATGAAAGTAAAGTTACAACTTAAAAAAACAATAACAACCAAGAAGAGACCATTCAACAATATGAATAAAGAAAATTATTAAATGACATATACTTTGTCAGGTAGTGGGATCTAGGGTTTGGCTTCTAAGGTTCTTCCAGGAAATATTAGGACTCTTAATTAAAGGATATGAGGTACTGGGTAACCATTTGTAAGCCTTTTACTGTATAATTTGTGGCAATAAGCTCTGAATTTACACCGTGGCCACTCCATTCCTAGGACAACGTCAGTGCTACATATGGTGTTGACCACTCACAAGCTACCATAACTCAGGATGTATGAAAAAACTGAAAATAACATGTCTTTGTATATAACAGAATTCATTTATGATTTTCAATCCTGTTTTATAAGATGTGAAATGTGAAATTTTCTAATAATACAGACTTTGAAAAAACATCTGTGACTGATTTAGGATTAATAAAACAAATTTTACTTCTCAAATGGTAGCAAAATCTTTTATTTTTTTCAAACTCAGTTTTGAGTATTTTATAACAATCAAGAGAGTGGTATATAAATGACATTTTGTTTGAGACAAATACATTAGCAACAACTGATGGCCTGTGTTTCAGGATATATAAGAGAGTTAAAGCAATTACATTGGCTTGGATATACCTAACACATGTCATCTATATCCTTAGGCTTGGCCAACTGTGTAACAGTGACAATACCAAACCCTACAATCAATGTGACTGGAGGAAACAGTGCCACTCTATACTGTACATATACCCTTGCTTCATCTAGCACAAACAATTTGCTAATACAATGGAATCTCATCGAAGCTCATTCACAACTGCCAATTCCCGTGAGTATAAAAGAATCAGCATTGCATGTCTAAAAATATTTTTCCTGCACAGCTTTATGTTAGCACACATACAGTTTGTCGCCATTTTAAAATGACAACTCTATTTAAAATGTTTCAACTTTGTTTGCTGCTGCTGAGTCGTACTACTGAGCTATTGACGTAGCGTGTGTTCAAACCCCTCCTCACAAAATATTTAAAAGCATTGTACATTCTTGTATCTATATTCCCTGTTATTACAGGGAATCCAGCAAAACAATGTAACACCATCACTCTAATTTCGAATTCTTGTGATGGGACTTGATATACCTAAAAAGTTAATATGTTATTTGGTTTGCCAGCATTCATTCAAAGCTGAACCATCAGGCCACTACTTGAGTGGAGTTGGCCTTTAACCGCATTTTCAAAGGGGTTCATGTTTTTAGCAATCAATTCTGAATGCCACTCATCGCTATGATGCATCTATGACCTTAAAGAACCCCTCTCAAATTGCTGATTAGTAGAGAAATACAGAGGCTTCATAGCCCAATGCTGCCGGGAACATCACCAACAGTGAAGTTGTTTTCAAATTTCTTGATGACTTTGGTAAATCCCTTTCATTTTAAAATGGATGCAGGTTCCTGTAAATTTCTAAATTTTTCGTTAAGACTAAATCTTGGTGATCTCAATTTTGAAAGATTGATAATTATCCAGATTAAACAATATCATGAATACAAAGATCTGAAAACAGGCTGTGTAAGGTAAATTTTTTTTATGCCACATTTTAGACTTTTTTACACTCCTGCTTGGAATTTGTGTTCAAGAAAGAATTTGCTCTAAATATAAAATGTTTCTTTCATTTGGATAGCAATGTTGATACACTGTATATATAGGTTTTTTTCTATTTAAAACGTATTTACAAAGTGTGACACCGATTTGTGTCACAGGAAAAAAAAATTAAAGTTTAGAATCGTATTTTATTCTGTTTTTTTAAATGAAAAATTCAACAAAAAATTTGATTGTTTTTTTCACCAAAAACAAACCCTTAATCACAGGCCTTTTGACCATTAGTCTTACTGGATAGCCATATATTTAATCTTTTTGGAAAATATTCTCTATTTATTGCTGGTTTATTTTTCCTTATTGCTATTTACTAGATTAGATTTTTTACACCTAGTGTAAGTGTATATCTACATGGGTTTGAAAGTGACACTAAACGAAATAGTTAGATCTTAAAAATGCACTCAAGTACCCTATTTAAAAAAATGTAGTTTATTTATACATCCTTCGGCTGTAGATCCTCAAATAATCTCTGAATTTGTGCTGACACTGTCCTTCCTTTTGAAGGGTGGCTACTTTTTCTCCCCATGGTCCCTGTGTGTGTTGTAAAGTAGCCAACTCTCCAAGCTCACTCCCACGATAGACTACAATCTCAGTACAAATTAGTAAATTAAATGTGACATTTAGATCAAAGTGAGGAGTAGAACTCCTGTCATGTTTTTATTGATGTTTGTGTTTCCACTAGGGAGATTCACTCTTTCCCATACACAGTCAACAAGGTTAAATCTTCCAATAAGGACACTTGTTTATGGTATCTGTCTCACTTTAGAAAGATTCCATCTTACCTTTTGCTGTTTCTACAGAGCAGAAAGTGAAGGAAAATCCTTCTATGGAAAAACACATGGCAAAAAAAAGACAATAAAAAAATGTGGCTTTAGATTTACTTTGCAAATTAATTAATTAAACAGCATTCAATTGATAAATGTCAAATGTACTGTCTTACAATATGTTATTCAAGGTAATGCATTGGAAAATATTATTTAAACAGAATTTAAACATGCATTTATACACAAAATAGACTTTTAGTATATGGGATTACCATTTCTTAATGGGTTAAATCTCATGATACTGAAAAGTCTATTTTACAGTGAATGTTCAGACGCTGGTACTATTTGATATTCTGTATGGCTGGTGTTTGGGGCTGGGTGGGGCCCAGTGGTTTAAACTTTGGACTTGCTGGTTATTCAGCCAATGTTTGAGTTCTTCTTGTGACAAGCTGCGATTTTTGTCATTCTCCTAGCAATCATATAAAAGACGTCTAAGCCTAAAAAGTATGCTGTGAATTCTAGTGCAATGTGGCATTTAGGTTTTTGCATTTAGTTTATATTTGTTGTTGCTGAAGGCATATGGTCGCAGAACTCAAATGTCATTTATTCAAAACAAAAACTCACAGTATTATTTATCTAGTATGCAATAGTGCCAGGCCACGATTCAGCCCTTCCTCAGGCAGGAGAACACATACCAAATATCACATACAGTAGCAATGTAGACATCCCAACCTGAAAAACTCATTTCAGGGAGATGCCCTCTACCCCATTCCCCCTAAACCTATCCGCGGGGGGAAGGGCGAGAAGAAAGGGGGGGGAATGGGGGAGAGGTCACCTTCCTGTAATGATGGCAGATAGCAGAGGAGCTAATGCTTCCCCTGCTATTGGCTGTGTTGTTTTTTTTATTCTGACAGCGGCCGCAGTCAGAAAAAAAAACCAGATAGCAGAGGAATGAATAGCTGGACTGCTATTGGACATTTCAAATTGCAACTTCAGGTTCACCTCTGCTGATTGACAGTAGCAGTGGGCGGGTGCAATAGCCTGCCTGCAATTGGCTATTGCAATTTGAAATGGCCAATAGCAGCCTAGCTATTCATTCTCCTGCCAGCCGCCATCAGAATATGAAAAGAAAACCTAACCCAGCAGATAGCAAGGGATCCTGGAAAGGTTTACTCTGCTAGATAGAGCAGAGCAAACCTTTCCGGGATAAAATGTGTCTCTCCCGTGCGTCAGGAGCAGCTATCTCATAGTGTTGGAATGTCTGGCAATGCAAAAACATTTATAAACGCACCTGTGCTTAAGTCTGGACAGGCCTGGACACCAACACCTTGCATCCGCACATGCTGCTCCTGCAGCAGGTGTTTTCTTTCAGTTTCTTTCAGGCATTGGCCTGGTCAATCAGGCCAGAACAGAGACTCTCCTGGTGTCTGCTGAGAGAAGCCGCCCCCAGGACGAGCTGTGTCGGCCGCACGGCGCCCTTGTTGCCATGGCGTCCTGTGCGGCCGCACTGCTCTCACACCCCTAAGGCCGGCCCTGTCTGTATACGCACACTGCTCCCTGCAACACTGTATCCAGAAATGGGTGGAGCACTGACCAGACAGACTGATTACCTTTTGTGGGTAAAAACCTCATGGCAATTAGTCTCACACCTGGTCCGGGTGTCCTTTCATGCTGAACTATGCTTAATCTGTATATCTATATATATCTCTACGGATACAGTATATATAGATATACACACAACATCATACATCCCAAAAATTATTTAAATGCTTAAGCCCAACATCAGCCAAGTTTTGTTTTTCTTTTGGCTAGAGTGGAAATGATTAGGAGCTTTCTCTGCTTTTTAAAGCTTTAGAGGTTTTCCCTCTCATGTTCTATCAGACAGGAAGTGAGGGTAAATCTACTGAGGACACGGACAGCAATATAATCCTGCAAGACGTTCTAAACCTTGTTCACTTAAATAGAAAATGGATTACAAACTGCATTAGAACATCTAAAGAGGTTCTAACCCTTGTACACTCTATCTAAAGAAAAAAGTTTGGGTTGGAAATTGACTTTTGAAAATAAAGTGTATTTTCTCTTTTGTAGTCAAATTTGAGAACCTCCACTATATGCTTGTTATGTGTTCCCATTCACACAGCATACATAATAATCATGTTTAAGAAAATATTTCTTACCTTTCTAGTTGTTTCCTTGGACCAGGCCTTTGGGCAGACTGCAAGTTGCAATTTTAAAGTGAAAGTGGATGGGGACAAAGTGGGGACAGAGTCAGACTATGTCTCCTCTTATTAACATATAACACAGAACACAAGCCCTGAGTTCTTTAACCCTTAGTTAGGACAGACAGTGTTACATTTCTAGATAACAACTGATAATGAGATCTGTCAGTGCAGTACATAAAGGGTTAATTTTGGTAAACATAACTCCACAATCCCTTCCTTAACATTACATAACATTACATTTTCAGAAAAGAGCAAGTAAAAGGCATTTTTATTTTTTGCTAAGCTATGTGAATGGGAGCATGTAACAAATATAAACTAGGTTTTATGCCAGTTTGTATGTAAAAGTGAAAATAGTGAAAAAAATACACTTTAAGCTTCACTCGCTAATTAAATTTCTCTTTTATTCTGGCCGGTATGATTTTATAGGGGTTTTATTTTACGTCTAGTCACTTTTGGGTTGCAAGAATCTCAATGCACTTGTCTGGAGGCGTGTACTCTTAATATATACATGACAAGGAATGAGCATTGAAATATTTGACAGAAATGGCAGGCTTTGGAGCATTTATTTGCTTTCAAATATGTTAGTGTAATCACTAAAAGATGTGTGATGCACCCATCATGGGGATTTTAAATATGTAGCATTTTTTATACTAGCAACCAGCAAGTTCATTCACTTGTCCACATGACTTATAGTTTTAAAAAGGCCACTCCAAGCTAATCTAGCAAGCATGGATTGAAGGAGCAGGAACAAACAACTGTAACAGTAATATTACACTCATCTTTATAGCATCAGTTCTAACCATCTCTTTAAAATGAATGGATTAACTTCAATGACCTGAATCCTGATTCCCAACCACTATCCCCAATAGGTGCTAGGAGAAGAGCCCATTAAAACCTTTGAAGTAATGTGCATGGAGTTTGTTTTGTCTTATGTGTTTATACAGTATGTTGGTGGGAACCTTAGACTGTATGCTGCGTTGGTCCATGGAATGATGTAAACTGTTCCATGCACTTCACATGTAGAAAAGAATATAGACACCTACACACATGCATTACTTATGTACAGTGAGGCACAGACCACACTCCCAGACATGCTCAGCATAAGACGTTCAATTGCAGATCAGATGATTTGGAAAGTGGAAACATAGTTGCCGGCAGTTTGCACACTACATACCTTCCCTGATCCTCCAATCCCTACTCTCTGATTAGCTTGAAGCTTCCTTTTAGTAAGCATGAAGTGGGATTAGTTAAGTTCTTAGATACTTTCTGCTCCACAACAGCATTCCCCGTGCGCCAGCTTGAAGGAAGGTGCATTGAATCAGTGTGTAAAGATGTCCATTTTCAGAGATGCACGGGGAAAGTGTAGCTGGAGATCCCAGGTAAGCATTGATTACTAACGGCAAAGCTTGTAGTGATGTTCACTAGTCTTGCCATTGTTGTGTTTTGCACTTTCAGAAGGAATGTTTTCTACAATGCATGTTGCCAACAAAACTAAATACTGTTCTTACGGTGTACCTGTAATAACATGCAGATTTCTAATTAGTAAACTTCAACAAGCAGTAGCAGGCATTGCAGGTGCTCAAGTGCCTGCATGTAGCATCAGTGCTCTTCTAGGTCACCCCAGGAGACCCTAAAACCAGGGTGACCTGGTATGCAAATATGTACTGTAGCTGGAATGTGGGCATATGTCCCCCTGCTACCTCCTCTCCATTTAAGTGGTCAGAGGGGCAGCCTATCATTATTTTTTTTAATCCAGGTAGGAAGGGTAGTACCAAGTGACAACTTCTTAGATGAGCTCCTAAACCTGGTACACTCAAGAAGAACATCAAACTAACATTTAACAATAACTGATAGTGCCAATGGTAGCCACCTCTAGGTGCTTGCACCTAGAGTTCAATTCATAAACTAGTGCTCATACCTTCATTTTACTGTCATTGGCGGTCTGTCTGATTTATGTATTATGCTTCCTAGAAATCCAAAAGGTTGCTTTTTTTAATCTCTCCAAGAATGAAAACTTCCAGTGTAAATGTGATATAATAACAACCTACTCATAATATAACAACCTACTCAAGTTAAAATGTGCATGTTTGTTTTCTCTTTTCTAAGTAGTTGGGTTTTTACCACTCTCAATAACACCAATGCTCATTGGTCATCCATAAGTGTTGTAGGCTTGAATGGGTTCTTAGTTCAGTTATATTTTGACTTTCCTATGGGCTTACATAGCCTTGCTAAGAAGAAAGGATAAGTAAAGTTACCACAATAATTTTTGTAAGATTGTTGGCAGTGTTCACTTTACACAAGTTTCTTTACACAACATCACTTGACAGTCTGTGAATAGTCATGAATGTGAAGCAGAGGTACTTTTAAGCCCTTCAGAATGTTCCATTATTGATAGAAGAGACAAAAAAATCCTTCTCAACAACAAAGCTGAAGAATATGCTTTATGTCATTCTTAAAGAAACGTTTTGGTGTCATCACAAGCTTTGCCCAAATTATCAAAATCATCGTACATAAAAAAGCACTTCCTCCAAACATTCCCACATCACTTAATGTATTTATCTCTCTGTGCACTCCATGATCATATTAATCTCTCATTGTGAGCCCTATGTTGACTGAAATAGCAAGATGTTGTATATATCTTCAGCTTAGTGGTGAACCGCATTATAATTGTATGGGAACTGGAGCAATTTGATCATTGGTTAATGTCAGATCCAAATGTAATGGTTGTAGGTGGTGCATTTTGATAGCAAGCTTTGGAGGCACTTAACATGGAGTGTTATGACAGCTTTAGGACATGCAGTGTTTAGGACAACGTCTGCACACTCAGACTGCACATTCTTTTTGTACCTGTACTGTGCAGATTTGTAGGTGCCCTAAGGACACATACTGTATATACCTAGATACTGTATGTTCTGTTTGACATCTTCTATTTGCACTGATTCATGTGAGAAGCACATCTGCCCGGACTTACTGCCACCCTGTGGTTACATATACTATGGTCTCACTTTTAGCACTAGCACTTTACACACAGAATACCATGCTACTAGAAGGCTTCAATGAACTTCAAGGGGCATATTGAATTCAGCTTTAAAAACAGAAGTAACCAATACATCAGGTCAGTTAACCTTTTACTGATTCGATTTGAATAATGTAAGTGGAAATCAAATTGGTTGCCATGGGCTATTTTGCTTTTAACAAAATCATTGTTCCTTACACTTCTTTATTAAATAAGCTGCACCTTTTTCCAAAATGATCTGGTATGAGTTGTAGCATTGGCACACTTGTACTGTTTGTATATTCAAGCCCTTCTTATAGCCTCACTCATATATTTAGGCATGATTTGTATCACAGTATAAGTTACCATTCGAGGAGAAGGAGAATACTAACTAAAATTCCTACTTTATATTTGTAAACAGCCACTCTAGCTACTATACTATCCTATACTTTGACATATATATTGTACTATACTGTATTTTCACAATAGGATATGTAGATATACAGTATTTTCCAGTTAATGTGCGCTGTGGGCACCACATATAAATTGAAGCTCTGACTGTACCATATACATTCCAGCCCTTACATATTGTTAGCAAGTGGTAAATTAACTTTTGAGTACTCCCCTGCTGACCTCTGTAACTGCTGCCATTCTCCAATTTTTGTAGCAGAAGCAGTAAAGTCATTCAAGTAATTATCTCAGGCAGCTCAGCTCATCGTGCTCCCTCCTGCCAGAGCACCTGCTTTGGGGTTAAATTGGAGATTAGAAGGATGGAAGACTACCAAGTAGCTGCTGTGAGGGGTAGTTGGGTGATCTGAGCTAGCTCAATGGTCACTTCACTGAGAAGGATATGTCCTTCATGGTGGAAAGAATGGTAAAGATACTTTTTTGGAACTTGGCTTTCAACTGCTGTGGATGAGATTACTAGCTAGTCATTCATTTGCCATGTTGGAAAGGGATGCCATTTTGTGTTCCAAAGCTTTGACTGTAACATACTACAGTATAAGACTTTGTACACATTTTCTTTTAATTCATCTGGAATGTATTTAGCTGATTAAAACAGGTTGTTTAACTAGGTTTAAATAAACTTTTTGGCTTAACCAAATGCAGACCTTTATCAAATAAAATCAGCTTTCAGATATGCTGTGGGGAAAAATGAAAGTGCTTAACCCTGAGCTAAGGTAAAATAATGCTCTTAGTTTACATATAGTATAGTAGTATACATGTCTAGTGTATGCAAAACAATCCAATTGGACATTGTGAGATTATCTAACTCTCCCATTTGTGCTTTTCATAATTCCATCATTATGAATATTAGTGAATGTTTGCTGAATCCAGAGTGAATCTGACATACAACACTTTAACCCCCCTCCCCCTTCAGTGGCAACTTGCATGAAAGTATATGTATTGAAGTTTTGAATAGAGTACAAAAAAGAGTTTAACCTCCCTACTATATGTAAAAAAAAAAAAATTCCCTATCATAAACTTTAAATCCTAAAGTATAATTAAACCCTCAGGGTTTTTTTGCACATATCTACTGCTAGCAAGCAGGAGATATATGAAAAAACATTTTTTTTTAAAGTTACGAAAAATGTTAAAACTTACCTGTGTCTCCGCCGCGCGCTCCCATCCGAAGGTATGAAGATTTTTCAGGAGGCCGCAAAGGATCATGGGGCAAGTGCATGCACAGTAGGGATCTTCGGCCAGGAGAAGAGGAGAGACACAGGGTAAGTCTATGCAGGCAGCCCGGCAGCGTTCACCCGCACAGACTCTGTTGGACACAGAAGACACAGCAGTCAGAGCTGGATCGGACTCCTGAAAACTACTGGAAAGAAGAAGATGATCGGATCAAGAGGCATCATTTAAGTTTAAGTCCTGACACCAGCATGGGGGGGGGGTGGGGTAGACTTAATGTCACTTTAACTCTAAAAATAAAACAATTTTTGCACATTAATTACACCTAATGATACAGTATGTGTACTATGTGTATATGCTATTGCATTAAGTAAAGACTTTCTTTCATTCATCCTGACACCGCCTTAAGTGCTTCTGATGCTAAAACTTATAGTCCCAGCTTGCTTTAGTACCCTGCATACAGTGAAGGACAGTCGGTCATGTCTAGTATTCTTTTCACAGAGTACAAGGTGTTGTAGGAGTCAATAGTGAATATGTCAAGTCATCCCTTGAACATATTTAGGGAAAATAATATTGATCGTACAATATAAAAAGTACAGCAATGAGACCTGGATTTCCAATTAGACTGGAAACCCCGGTGCTGGGTAAACAGCATTGAATGTAACCCAATCACAGTCAATCCGAACAGGGAATTTATCAAACCTGAAGCAGACAGAATTTAGAGCAGTTGCCCATAGTAACCAATCAGCTTCTCACTTTAGTTTGTTTAGTCAAGCTTTGAAAATGAAAGAGAGAAGCTGATTGGTTGCTTGCACAGCTGCTCCAGATTGTGTCTACTCCAGTTTTGATAAATTCCCCTCATTGTGTGTTATAAACATCATATTTTTTTGAGGGTGGGCAAGTGCAAATGTTCAGTAAATCCATTATATTCTGCTTTTGTACAGTGTATGATAAAAACAGATATGGAAATATGTATTATATGACCTATGTCTTGTTTATTTCATATTCCACAGTGGTGTTAGAAATGACCTGACAATTTTGTGTTCTAGGTGTATTATTTCCAGAATGGACAACCCTTCCCTGTGGGAAGATTTAAGAACAGAGTGACAGGTTACAATAACACTGGAAATGCTTCAATAACTATTTCAAACCTGCAGCCACAAGATACTGGATTCTACACTTGCGAGGTGTCCAACCTTCCAGACCCAATTGGAATGGGGCATATTCAAGTGATTGTACAGGGTACTTAGAAAATGCTTTACCAGTTCTTGGCCTTGTGTGTGTTTGTTTGCACAGATGAAACAGTTAGATATACAGGCATGGGTGTCCTTAACCTAAGGTGAGGGTGGGTACTGGTGGTGCATGCGATCAAAGCAGTGTGAGGTAAGTAGAGGACACAGCGCTGACAGACAAGTGAGTGACAACGCCTTCTGCATATTCTGCATCTCCCCGTCCAGCTCTTAGCAACCCGGGACGCTCTGGCTGGTGTCCCGCCCAGCTCCTGGCAAGCAGTGACATCACTGCTTGCCAGGAGCTGGGCGGGACGCCGGCCAGAGTGCCCCAGGTTGCTAAGACCATGGCCGGGAGTTGTGTATGGCCCTTACACATCTCCCTGCACGACTCTTAGCAACCTGGGGCGATCTGGCCGGACAGACTTTTAAAGCAGAACTCCAGACAAACACCATACAATTGAACTATACAGTATATTAGAGTACACTATAGTACAAACACAAACATTACTCACAACTTGCATTAAAAACAGAGGTTTTTGTTGCAAAAATGTGTAAGCCACACTGCCTCATCGAGGCTTCTCTGTATAGTGTGGTCCTAACTCTAATCTATGAGAGCCTCCATCTTGGAGCATATAAAGCAAAGGATGGCTTGGGTGCAGGTATGTACAATAGCCCAGGAAAATGACACCATTATTTCCTCGCTCAGTTTTGTAGCTTTCTGTGTCGCATTCCCACCTCAAGCCTGTTCATTGGGCAATGAATTAGTGTCATCATTGATTATTCATTGTCAGGCTATTGATATAGGCAGCTGTAAGCTAACCCAGAAAATAGTGGATTTCATCTTAATAGTTATTCAGCATCTTCCTGTCTATACCAATTGGCAGGGCAGTGAATTACAAGACACTATACAGAAACACAAATCATCTGTTAAGTAACATTTAACATGGATGTATTTTCATTACATAGTTAGCTTCTTGCTCGTTACACACTTTCCCTTTTCAAGTAAGTCCTCTTTATATTTCTTTTAATGTATTGTATGCTTCATTCATGCTATCATCTCTGATTTCTTGCAGTTGCCCCATCTACCCCACACTGCGGTATAGAGGGGGATATGGCGGTAGGACACAGTGTAACACTATTATGTGTTTCTAGGCAAGGAATGCCCTCGCCAGTCTATACCTGGAACAGAGTAGTGAGTGGAGTCCTATTGCCAGTAAATGTTGGTGAGTAAAAAAATGGTTGTTTTACATACAATATATGTGGGTTGTAATACATACAGTATATGTGGGTGAATAATAGTTCTCTCTATCTCTCACTCTATCTCATTTTGTCTCTCTCTCTATAAAGTATATACCTGAAGAGAAGTTAACTCTCGAAAGCTTGTCTTTTAAATATTATGTTAGTCCAATAAGAAAGGTATCATTGCATACTGCAATACTCCAGGTTTTTTTTTATATCTGGATTAATACAGCCTACCCATTTACATTACAATATATATATATACACACACACACACACACACACACACACACACATATGTATACACATACACACACACACATTGTATATTTTTCATTGTTTGCTATATATTCATTTTTTTTACAGAGCAGAGTGGAGGAGTCTTAGTCATAGGCAATATGACTAAATTTGAAGATGGATACTACCGATGCACTGCAAGCAACAACCTGGGCAATGCAACCTGTGAAATGGATCTCCACACAGGGGGTAGAGTATTGTTACACTGCCATTCATTTTGCACTGGCATATATACTTCACTCACTAACACTGTAGAATTATCTTCAATGAAGTCACCAGGAAGGTGACACAAACAGCATTTTGCACATTTTATCAGTTGAGAGCAGTCATAAAAATCAAAGATGATTTTTGTCTGGCTGCCATGAGTTACCAAGGGTCCTGTATAGCCTATATCTACTTTGAACTACCATTTAAAGCTGCACACGCAGGAACTAAATATAGAGAGCATACTTTTTTTTTTTTATTATTCTTTATGTTAGATGAGCAAAAGGGAAATCCAGTACAGCCAAGTATGAGAATGACATGTAACAATGGTATTACAGTCAAACATGTACAGTGAAGCATTAAATTAAGGAAAACAGCACAGTATCAACAACCAATAAAGAGTAACAAAAGAAAAGCTGGGGTTTTTTAGGCACCAAATGACAACTTCCAAGACAATAGATCATAAAAAAATATTTATTTGTATTAAATTATTAAAAGAGCGGAATATTTCATAAAAGCAGCCTGATCGGATAACTCCCGAGAGCTCACTCCATTACTGTTCTATCCCTTGTAAATGCAAAAGTAACATGATTAACTTGAATCACAGTACATGATGGTAAAAACCATGATTGATTGAACACGACTACCAGAAATAACATGATAGAGTGACATAACATTTCACAACATGATTAGGAAAAAAAATGTTGAACATGATCAAGGGTTTAACAATAGAGGATAGGTGACAGTGGAGGAGCGCAATTTGTCTCGACGTTTCGCGCTTGATGGCGCTTCTTCAAGAGGAGGAAGTTATCTACATGATTCAAAAAAGGATATACATATATAATCATAATCTAAAACACAGATAATTTTTTAAGGTTATTTTGATACCACATACCTCTCACCCACCGCTGCCTTTAGTGGGGCTTATGGTCTCGACCTCTCTCCCCTTGTCTGCTCTGGTGGGTGTGGTCCAGGTGTTCAATGAATCATGGTTTTTACCATCATGTACTGTGATTCAAGTTAATCATGTTACTTATGTATTTACAAGGGATAGAGCAGTAATGGAGTGAGCTCTCAGGGAGTTATCCGATCAGGCTGCTTTTATGAAATGATTCCACTCTATTAATAATTTAATACAAATAAATATTTTTTTATGATCTATTGTCTTGGAAGTTGTCATTTGGTGCCTAAAAACCCCCAGCTTTTCTTTTCTTTTGTTACTCATCTCTTAGGGGTGTGGCACCTACTGCCCAGGTCCAGGTCACACAATACAAATTCAACCAATAAAGAGTACCATGGTTCAGGAGTGGTTTGCACTGGTATCATCTGACTCTCTTTTTATATAAAAAAAAAATACAAAAGATCAAAAACAACCCAACAGGGGCACAACTATAGACAGAGGGGTAGGGGGAAAAAGGAAAAGGGAAGAGGGGGATCAGGAAAAAAAAGGGCAGAGGATAGAGAAACTGAAAAAAGAATATGGAAAGTAGAAGGAAACAGGATAAAGAAGAGGAAGTAGTTATAAGAAGAAAATCCACCCAGCTGCAGAAGGAGGGAGGGGAGGGATTCCACATAAGGAATTCCTCAATGGGCAAGGGGAACCCCAGGAAGGTGATCCAAAAACCACTCTGCTGAAGAGTCCCAGTCTGCAAGGAAGCAGCATAAGTGAAAGAAAAAGAAAAGGCAATCCACAGAAACCATGTGTGCCTAAACCTCCCTATTACGTAAGGAGGCCGTAAGGTCTTCCATGTGTCAGATTTCTGCAACCATAAGGATAGAGGGGGAGCATTTGGCTGTTTGCACATTGCTGGAATACAGACTCTTGCCGCATTCAGTAATTGGACAGTCAATGATGTCCTGTAATGTCTTAATCTGGTTAACATGCAATAGATAGCAAATCGGTCACTGCCAAGATCTACCAAGGTAAGATGAAGTAATAATTGCCGAACAGCCAACCTTTTTGGTTTGGGGGGAAAAAGTCTGTGCAGCATATAGATGTATCCTGCTGCACTCCTTACCGGGTTGTGAGGGAAACCTGTATGATCCAGGTGGGTGCTTGAAATGACCAGGGATGGCACAGTGAAATAACATAAAGTTCAGGAACCTCACCAGCACTCCAATTCAAATGTGAAAAAATCAATTTAATGACACAAATTTGTCATACAATGCAAGCGCTTTCGGGGCCTCACAGGGCCACCTTCATCAGACTCAGAATGCCATGAAAACGCTTGCATTGTATGACAAGTTTGTGTAATTTAATGGATTTTTTTCACGTTTGAATTGGAGTGCTGGTGACGTTCTTGAACTTTAAAGTCTGTGTAGCAACGCAGGACCAGCAAGATAATATCTTGAAGCCTTGTTCGTGAAATACATTTACAATTGAAGATTTGTGAGCAAACAATATAGCCTTCATTATGAGGGAGACAAGGATACACCAGGTTCAGTCTCCCACTTACATATATAGGAAGGAACAAAGCCCTCCTGAGGAGTACTCAACAGTAGTGGAGGAGTCCTGGCAAAGGTCTTCAAAGGGTGTCACTGGTCTTGAAAGCCTGTATGTATTCAAGATTGCCCTCAAAAAGTGTCTTAGCTGGTAAGCTGCCCAAGAAACAAGGGGGGGCACAAGGTCTTGAATTGCATCCAGAGTCAGCCGCCCATCAGGAGACAAGAAATGCAAAAGTCAATACTTACCAGAGTCCAAAAGTCTCAAATTTTTTATCCACCATACCTGCAAAAAAAACTGTATCCCCGACAACCGGTGTCAAGGGTAAGAGTATACTTTTGACTAGTTTCCCACCTCTGTTCACTTGTCTTCATGGATCTGATCTTTGGCTAGTTCCTTGAATCCAGTTATACTGTGATGGCCCCAACTTGATTACACTGCTAGTTACCGCTTTGCACTGTTTGCCATCTTTGATTAAGTCTGTTTGGATTTTTCTCACATTTTCTATTTTGCCCTTTAAGATTAGTTAATCCAACATTTAAATTGTGGCTTATTGAATATTGAACCATGGCCATACCAGTAAATAAAAGGTAGCTGCTAGAAGTGAAACTCACCAAAGCATTGGTCACCTGTTCTGAACTCTGGTCAAATCATTGGTTGCTATTGGCAGACCATAAGCTATTAAACCTGCCCCAGTCAATTCATCTTACCCAAATACAAAGAATCTAGGAGAAGTTCTCAGCAATTAACCATTACAGTTGTTTTAATATGGGCAACACGGCTTATTTAATAAGAGTGCACAAAGCAAAGTTGAAAATGTGGTACCCATTGTAACTAAGCATACTGCCTTTGCTCTTTTTGAGTATATTGAATAGTAAAACTTACTTCTGCTTGTACTCATACTTAACATTAGTGGTTGATACTGTTAAGGGGAGCTATAGGGGTTGATTTACTAAAGGCAAATAGGCTTTCCCTAGGAAGTATCCCCTTAGCTTAGTTAATGAGATGAAGCTCTGCTGACTTCCACCATCCAATAACATGAAAGCAAAATACTGTTTTGTTTTTTTCCTTACACATGATTGGATATTCTTTGCAGAGTGAAATTACACCACATTTACCAATCGAAGGGAAAATTCCCCTTCAAGGTGCAAATTCCTTTACACAGTGAACAACCTATTTGCCTTCCGTAAATCGACCTGATTAAGTCTGTCTGATTAAAACAGTGGCTTTCTGCAGTCTCTGGGTTGGGGAACAAGCCAAATTTGCATTTGGATGAATGGAGATTGAGGTAAGGTATTTAGGGAGGGCAAAAATGATCAATATTGCAAGGGATAAGGTAGGTTGTGATGGGGGGCAGGCAATGAAGGAAGCTTCATTAAGACAAATGCTGGTTGCAGGATGGTGGAAGATACTTTTAGAAATATGTTTGCAGAGATATTGTAGAAAGTACATTGACCAAGGTAGGGAGGGGGTTGTGAGGTTTATATTGAGACTGAGATGGTTTTGGCAGTTGGTTGCTGGTAGTATGGCATTTCAGTGACAGTTTACAGCGCATGCTCTTCATATTGGTTTACTTTTCTGCACTAATCTATAACTCAAAAGGATGAGGTAGGGTGGGGGTATGTGCTACATTTCTAACAGTATCAAGTTATTTCAACAACTTTTTTTCCATTTATAATTGGATATATCTTTAGCAAATAAGATCCAAAGTGTATGTGTGCTGTTTGACTTTAATGAATCATATTTTCCCTTTATCAGGAGAAGCTGGCATTATCATAGCAGGGGTTATTGGAGCAATGCTCTTGGCAGCCATTATCTTTGTTGTTATCTGGTTCCTTGTAGCAAAGAAGAAGAAGAAAGCAAAAAAATCGACCACTGAAATGAAGTAAGATATCTTAATAACCCAGTGAGTTTATTTGTCTTTGTAAAAAATCCTGCTTCTGCTCAGAACTTCCTCTTGTCTCATTTGAAAATAAAGATTTGTATTTTCTTATGAAGAAAGATACAGCATACTTACTCAATAAAAAAACTGCAAAGAGCAAATCAGATGTACAATCAGAAATCTCTAAAGGGCTCTTGTTTCAGCACAGTGAAATGTCATTGACTGTTGTGCTTTTCACATTCTCAGTGCTTTGCACCACTGAATAAGTCCCAGCTCATTTCAAAATATTTAAAAAATAAATACATAAAAGATAAGGTCTGTTCATTTACAATAGGGGCAGGGTTGTATTTAGACATCATGCTGCCCTTGGCACACCTAAATTTCGACGCCCTTTTGTGCAAGTCCTGCCCCTGGTATCATGCATTTATTTGAGTAAAAACTATTCCTCTCAACATCCCCAGAACTCTCTCCCCCTGCAGTTCTTAGTAAGTTTAGCCAAAAAATGTCAAAGATGTCCAAAATAGTGATGAGCCTGGGCTTGGTGCGAACCCAGTCTACCGAAGCCCTCAAAACTGCCACCCTCTCCTCCTGGTCCAGCCAGTTGCAGAAGGCACATTCTCCACCACTCAGCTATACATAACAAAGAGGCAGGGAATGCCCCCTCTGCAACTGCTGCCACTGATTGGCCCGAGAAGTTGTCACACTTTTGAGAGGGGAACCGGGTTTGCACCAAGCCCGGGATCATCACTAGTCCAGAACAGGAAAAGAAAATATTGCAGTTTGTAAATTTTGAGGCTTGGTGTTTCCCCCCTTACCCTACAGCACTAGGCACTGGCCCAGACATCAAAAGAGAAGTAAAGCCAAACCTTTTTTTTGGCTTCACTTCTATTTTTGGCGACAGGAGTACATACTAACAGTGACCCACAGTAAGCAAATAGCAGGCTAATTCCAGGCAAATTAACAGCGCAAAGCTAGGAAGGATCCAGGCAGTAAAGTCGGCTGCTAAGTGATAGCTGGCTCTGCCTCTCGAGAGCCAGGGCTGGCCATGCCCACCCTCTCCACTGCCTGTCCCTCCTGTAAGTGCTGCAGGAAGAGAGGGGAGGGGTGAATCCCCGTGGGGAGCGTTGACTGGCAGTCAATGCTTTTGGCAGGTTGAAGAGACCAAGACCTAAGCGATCAGTGTTTACATGACTGTTCATCTCTCTGTATAGCTTCAGTTTCCTGCGCTGGCTCTATGCAGCCTGGAGACTTACTCTTCCCACAGTTCATCTTTAATGTGAATACAGCCCTGGGTATTAAATATAAATAAATAGTAAAATATCTCATATACCAGGGCTCAAAATTTCCACTCGCCCGCTCGCATTTGGCGAGTGGAAATAAAGAGACGGCGAGTGGAAATTCAGTCAGGCACGCGGTCACGGATCGCGTACCTGACTATGAGAGCAGCCGCTCCTTGCCGTCCTGTCCTGGCTCCGTTACTTTCGATCGATCACCGGAGCTCTGTCCTCGTGACTCCACGAGATGTTGAAAGGTGATGCGAGGAATCTGACACTGCACTGTTGCCCTTCTGTTGTCTTGTACCAGTCTTGCCACTCTCCGTTCTGCCCTAACATTGACTAGTCGCTGAGGGCCACAATTTGCACGCTCAGACCCAGATTTTCAGCTGACAGTCCAGTCTTTAAACACTTTAGCAACAGCTGCTCTTGAACATTTAACGAATTCTGCTGTTTTGCTGATACTCGCTCCATGGCTTTAGCGCCAACAATCATCCCACGTTCAAAGGCTGTTAAATCGCGTTGTTTACCCATATCTTCAGAAAAAAAATCACTTCTACTGTCGTGGTAAACAACCTGCTTCCCTATTTATAATGGTCTGGCCCTCTAGCAACTTCAGCGCGCAATTATAGCTAATTATAGCTAATTTGCCTACAAACGTCAGGTGGTCATAATAATCTGGCCACTCAGTGTATACATATATATATATATATGTATGTATGTAATAGATAACAAATATAGGTTTAAATCTTATAAATACCATATTACAAAACATTCAGGGGTAAAAGGTTTTTAAGAAGCAAATATATTGAATATGATTTTACAAAGAAACTGTTTTAATGATGCATGTGTACCATTTCCTGCTTTCCTTTACAGAACAATGACACCATCTGCAGGGAGTAACACAGCACAGGCTGAGGCAGAGGCACAAGCCAAGCAGAATCTTGTGGTCTCTGAAAACCCTGAAGTCAGAGAATATAATGACCAACCTGAATATGCAACCCCTGGTGAAGGGGAAAATCCAGCTGTGTAAAATGCAGCTTCTGCCCATAGGCAGAGTAAAGTCTTCATAGTGAATAAAAAGTATGCTTTATAACAAAACAGATGGGCATGAACAGGGCATATGTAAATGCAACTTTATATATAAGAAGAGTCATTTTTTTATTCTGTTTTTTTAGCTGAATGTGTTGTTTTTATCCTTAATGAAATTGTAGAAACTATAGTGAATTTCAAAAACTTGGACGGTTTTATACATAAATGTCACACTGTTAAATAATGCAGCGCTGTCTGAGGGCAAGTGCCACGGTACAAGAGAATTTCAGAACTTGGCTTGAAATGTTAGTATTCTTAACGGCTATTGTGCTGCAGTCCTTTACATATTCTATGTAAGTGTTGCTTAATACATAGCAATAAATCAGTCTTATGTAGTAAATTATGCAAAATCCTCTATCCCAAAGAATCGACATTCCCCTATTGCAACTTTGAAGGCAGTATGTATTGATTGGTACGCACTTGTTGCTGTGAGTGTTTGAGTAGTATTATGGAGTGGATTCTTGTGCTAGACACAACTATACATAGGCTATTATACACAGATATACTTGTAGATGAGAAGCCTAATGACTGCTAAGGTATTATTATAGTGTACAAACAGGATGACGAAGGTCAGACTTCATAAAACAAAGTCAATATGTAAGCCTGATGGTTCTGTAGATCCAAGCTCACCGTTCTAAAGGGCCTAAGACTAATTATTAGATATATCAGGTAAAGGGGCTCTTTCACTCCACCCATTCAGAATTCTCTCTAAGGCGACTTTACATATAGACTGATGCACTGAATGGTGGTGCTAGATGTTGTATAATATAGTTTACCCACATATATTGAATCTATATATGTGTACTGTATGTATATAATACTTAACTAGGTATACTGTCTTTAGAAAATAATGCCAATGTTTTCACACAAATCACAAAATGTCAGGTTAACCCAAAAGTGATACTTTAATGTTAGATAGATACCAATAAGTTTAGGATGTGCCAATTCAGAACCACGGACTTTGTTGAAAGTGAGAAATAATTTGCAGACACAATGCAGAAGATTTATCAAGCAAGGCAGTGAATGAATTAGGTGTATACATAGTGCTAATCTAGCTACCGTTTTTTAGCTAAGGAATTGAATGGTCAGGACCGATACATAGAGATACATCCATGTATACAAGCCCTAAAAACCACACATGGACAGTTCATCTCTCTTTAGGTTCCATTTGCAGAATTTCCCTTCCACTTTCACCATGGAATTGAAGTGTTGCTCCTCCTGCTGATATATTATTCATATTGCAAAATAACATCCAGCATGAAGCACGAAGCTACCATGTAATAGTCATGGCTGGTGGACAAACCTGTAACTCAGATCAGAGGTCTCACCGTCACAGTTCATGAAAACTATAAGAACTGGTGGTGAATTAGCGCACCGCTGTTCTCATAAAAGCGAGATTTCAGTTTTTGGTAGGCTGACCCTTTAAATAGGAAAAAACATGACAACTGGAAAGCCAGCATTGCATTCATGGATGGGATAAAACACAGTTGTTTCAGTCACCTTATACTGTCCGGTCTGGGAATGAAGAAAAACAAATATTTGGTGTAGATCTAAAGCCATTTCTATATAATATGATGATTTCTATTTTTTGGGTGATTTTTTTATGGCTATTGTCTGTACTTTACTGTAGCTTATAATTATCGTTTGGATTAAATAAAATATGCGAAGCTTATATAATGTTGGTGTTTTTTTTAAATCTTAAATTAGGTGGTGCAAGGAAAAATATATGAGTGCTGAAAACAATGAAAAGTGAATGTCTTATTAATGCTGCACTCCAGGTCAATGCAGTTGAAATGCATATTTGTAAACGGTTTCACCTGCCAAAATATTGGTTACTCAGTTCAGTCAGTCTTATAATTCACACACCACTGCTAGACTGATTGGAAAGTGGAGTAGAAGTAGCACACTTTTAGGGCTTGATTTACTAAAGGCAAATAGGCCATTTACTTTGCAAGGGAATTTGCACTTTCCATAGGAAGTTTCCCCTTAGCTTAGTGAATGAGCTGTAGCTCTGCAAACTTCCATTATCCAATGACATGGAAGTAAAAATACGATTTTCCTTTTTTTCCCCTTGCGCATGATTGGATATTCTTTGCACAGTGAAATTTCAGCAAATTCACTAATCGGACAGAAAATTCCCCATTAAAATGCAAATTCCCCTAACAAGTGAACAAACCAATTTATAGTAAATCATAGCGAGCTTGGAGCGGTGGCTACTTCAGAACCAATTCAGAGATGATTTGAGGATCTACAGCCGAGTAATACAAAAATAAGATGCATTTTTGTTAATAGTTAAGGTACTCAAATGCATTTTAATAGGTTACTTGAATCTATTTTTAAGATTCAACTCCTGAGCTTTATGTCACTTTAAGGTCATTTAATAAGTTCATTCGTACCAAGATTTCAGAAAATAATGTAAAAGAAAAGGCAAATCATTCAAATCTATTTTTTTTATTTTCTTATTGAACTTAATCATCAGTCCAGGTCTGTTTTTAGTTAATAGAGAACATGTATGCATAACAGTACATACATAGTGTCACAGGGGTAAAAAGATGCTGATAGGCGATTCAAACTACTAGTGCCTACTCATACCCAATATCTTGGTTTTGGGTGCACTAAACCTCCTTGCTGACCTCCTTCT